AGGGAACTTGAGAAAGTCGTGTTGTGAAACATGTTGTGATACGAATAATTGTACACTATCAATGCAAAGTAAAGTTAAAAACAAACGATGCATTTCTTTATTATAGTTATCCTGGAGTTATAATTTTTAAAAATCTTTATATAACTTCAGGTGTTTGTAAACATAGCATAGCAAGGACATTTGAATGCATTTCTTTAGCCTTATAACCATTACAAACCACCAAGGCCGATAGCATTGCATCAGTTTTTATACAAATGTGTCATGTGCGAGCATCGCAGGGAGCAGGCAGGACCCAAATGCAGTACTGGAGAGACTCTTTCTGGTGCAGGAAGTTTATTAACAAAGTCCAAATTAACAAAACACGAAGAACTAATAGGCATGGAATTCTCGAGGAACACGAGGAAAACACGGAACACGAGGAAACACAAAGTAGGAAACTCACGAACACGAAGATCTAACACAGTAACAATGATCAAACACACACCACCACAATCACAATGATCCAACCCCGACAGAGTGAGGGAGAGGGGTATATATACACAGGGAACACCAGGAGACACAAGTGAAGCTAATTACCAAACAGGTGAGTGTGATCCCATGATTACCCCACAAAGAACACAGGAAAACACGGAACCAGACAGACATGACAAAATGCGCTGTAAACACCTATGTAACGTTTGGATTTTTTATACGCTACAAACATTTAGATGAAAAATACTTCAGAGTCGATAACTACACTAATATAACCTTAGCATCACAAACTTCCCTCGTGTTTGTTGAAGTGTAGTAGTTAGTGATGTGTCGTTCGCGAGTGATTCGTTCAAAATGAACAAATCTGTCATACGACTCGTGACTCCCGAGTCATATGAAAGATTCGTGACTCGTGACTACCGAGTCATATTAAATATTTGTTCATATTGAACTCACGAATCACTCACTGCGAACTAATCACTCACTGTGAACAAATCACTCTCTGCAAACTAATCTTTCACTGTGAACTAATCTTTCACTACTGTGGATGAAATGTATTCATGTGTTCATATTTTATAGAAGTATGCAACATACATAATCATGTTTTAAAAAGATCATAAGAGATGTGCTAAAACATATAACCAGCTTGAACATAAAATGCTGCTTAAAGCTAGAACTGAAAACATGCAGATGTAGAGAAGGAGCTGCGAGGTTGAGATAAAACCAAGGTTTGTTGTGAAAAGAGGAGTACTTGGTGTGATGGGAAACAGAAACTTTTAGAATACAATTTGACAATGGCTGGATTCATAGTTAGAACACAAGGTCCCAACAACAGCACCTGGGCACGATAAGAACAGGATGAGAAACTAACGGTGTAGATGCAGTTGCCAAAAAGAATGTATGTCTGTGTGTAGAACAAATGAAGTCTGTATCGCTTGAGATGTACCACCTGGATGTGTGTGTCAATAAAACAAGCCTGAGTTGGTGGAGAGAGCAGGATTCAGCAGTCAACCCCCTGACTCTCCGCTGGACCCTCCCTGTGCACAGGCGAACTCGAGCAACGACTTTTGTCTTTTCTTTATACTTTGTGAAAGTTCTTGATCAACGAATCCGGGGTGGTAAAACCTTACCACAACAACTTTGGGGGCTCGTCCGGGATTCCAAGAAAAAACAGAGAGTTGATCAATAGAACCATTGGACACAAGGACCTGGTGTGAACAGACAAAGGACACGGGCCCAAAATAAGGTAAGCAGAGCTTTTCTTCTGCATTGGAAATAGCTAAATTTTAGTTGTGTCCTGAGTCCTAGTAACACCTTGTCCGTAAATTAATTTAAAAGAATACTGGGAAATATGTGTGTGAAGAAGTAAAGGTACAGAGAAATAAAGAAGTGAAATAAGAGTAAAAAGAGAAAAAGGAACAGAAGTCTAACAGGGTTAGATGTCTTTGGGTGTGGCAACCCCCACCGTACTCTGACGAGGGGCGGTTTCAGCTGGGTTTGAGGCCCGGGGATTTGAGGACCCCCGAATTCTACAAGAGAAAAGAATAGAACAAGACCAGGCAAAACACATCGTGTGAATGTTGGACTACTGAAAACTGAAACACAACGGTCTCGCGTAGACAGTTGTTGAAGTAAGTGGACAGGAAATCCAAATTACTGATTTATAAAGTTTTGGTGTCAAGATTCAAGTTTACGGCTTGAATTGCTTGGACTGAGTACCAGGGACACAGCGTGCCATAGCTCTCAGTCGGCCAAAACTTAGACAGAAGAGAAAACACAATAGAGTAACAAAATAACTGTGAGTCGTTCATGCCCTGAACGACAAGACCAGCAGAATAAAAAGTCCTGTGAGTTCAAAAGCACGTTCCTTACATAAGAGAAAAGAAGCACACACAAAGGTTTATACTTTTAGCCTGAAAAGAAAGTACACGGATCCATATTTTAAATGTGTATTGTTATGTTGAAATAAATGTGTGATAATTGTGAATGAGTGGGTACTTCAAGAGACATTACACTGACTAGAGTCAGTCTCTGAAGTACGTGTATTTTAACCTGTAACAGTTGTGATTAAAATTGAGAAAGTTGGTTCACCTTTGACAGCTGTGTCCGCAGAAAACTAGTTTCTGTAGAAGCTTGGCACAGTCGATGTTCACTGGGAACGCTGTGACTGATCGTTAATCACAACACCTTGTAGTTTTAAAACGTGAAACAAGACAATAAATAAATAAATAAACTAATTAATTAATAAATAAATAAAAATGGAAGGAGAATTTGACAGAGAAATTGACGATGACGGGTGGGGACCGACCAGTACATTTAAGACAGTAGAGGAACAGCTGAAAGGACTGGAAAAAGTGGTGACGAGGACACATGACAAAAAAGAAGCAGGAGAGATAATGAAGCAGATGAGAGAGGAAGTAGGGAAATTGTTGGTTGAAAAAGGTAAAGCATTGACGGACAGAGGAAGTTTGCTGAAAGAATTTTGGAGAATGGAGAAGAAGGCCAGGCAGGAGAAAGAAAAGGCAGAAAAGGAAGAAAAATATGGTGGATGGACAGGGAAAAGGAAGTTCAAGAGTGTACAAGAGAAAGCAGAAAAAGAGAAACAGAAGTGGTTGAAGTGGGCCATGTGGTGGCAGAGAAGAGAGGCAAAGGGCCGACGGGGAAACAAACACAAGGCAAAGAATTAACTAAGAAGGAGCGTAAACGTCTCCAACAAGTTCAAAAACATCTACAAAAAGACCATGTGGAAGATAAAGATATAATGCAGTAAATATTGAAGGCCATTTTGTCTTGCAACACAATTAATAATAATAAAATAAACGCTGCATAGTTAAAAATTTGGAAAAAGGCAAAAACAAAGACACTCCCACTAGGAGGAGTTTAGGGGCATGCCTTCAGGGATAAACTATAACTGAAGTAGCCTAGCAATTAGCAACTAGCCGTAGGCCTAAATAGCATAGTGGCTATTAAAACTAAGGAAAGTAGTGGTATTAATTAGCACTACTTAATTATCATAGGTTAGCATAGCATAACTAGCTTAATTGATGCTAAGCTAAATAGTATTAATGCTAAGCTAAATAGCATTAATGCTAAGCTAAACAGCATTAAGGCTAAGTATTAGCATTAGCAAATCCTAATGACGTTATAATATAAATAATATAATATAAATTAGCATAGCATGAGTTGGCTCAACTAACGCTAAGCTAATTAGCATTAGCCTGTATAATATTAGCATTAGCATTCAGAGTCCTGAGATTTGAGAATTAGCATATGTTAACATAGCAATACAAGCTAATTTAGCTCAGATAGTGCTAAAACCAACACAGATAATAGCACGGCTGCTAAGTAACTAATAAAAGATTAATAACTAACTAATCTGAAAACAAAACAGTAACATAACAATGGCTGCAATTAACAATACACCACGATTAAAAGATAGACATGCAGGAATTTAAATCCAGGTTCGACCAAATTTTTGAACGAAATACAGGTCTTCAAAAGCCATGAGAGATAAATATCCCTTGCCTAATGCTTCAACCATGCAAATTAAAATGGGATCATAAACAAAATCCCAGAGAATTTTTGGATAAAAGTAAAGAGAGTTGGATCAGACAAACGGGATGCCACCCGGGGAAACCGGGGGTTCAAAGGGAATGGTACAGAAGGGCCGTCCTAAACGGTGTCCCAGATAAAGTAAAAAGCGCCATGGAAGATAATCCTGACATGGCAGGATGTGAGTCAACTGTGTGGGAACGGCATTTGATTCATCATCTGTCCCGAGCACAGGAGACTGTAGATGAAGAACAGGACAGCCTTAAAGAGCTGCAAGCCCAATTGTTAAAACTTCAACTCACGGAGGCCAAACAAAAGATAAGTGAAAAGAAGAAACAGGACAAAATAAACCCCAAAAACATCATAGCCACACAACCTTTTCCTCAGAATGATTTAGGAGATGCTGGTTTGCACCCG